AAAATTATAACTGCCTCTTTAAGTCTTACTACTTTTTTGTAAATATAACGTTGATATTAATAAATAGATTGAATAAATTTAATAAAAAGAGAAATCTGAAGTTATTCTTCAAAGCAAGTCGTTCGAAATTTGGGTTCTTTCTATAAACTCGTATCTTCTCCCTTCTTTTATTTCAGGTGGTTTCAATACTCCCGTTTTCCTCACAGGAAGTGACACCGTTTCAGTGGAATGTGGTGTATCATTTTATAAAGACGGAATCCTTCTGGAAATCCCACGCGATTCTCTCAATAGACAGCTGTCTGTTCGTCAGTAGACACCCGCTGAATTGTTGTGACTAGTTCTTTGATGGACACAACGCCCAATATCCGAAAACGTGCTGTTTAAGACGTGACATCTGGGAGCGCTGGACAATTAACGTTAGGCACTCTTCAAATATCATCTCAAGCAGTTGACAGAAGTCGACGTTTACTAAGTTTCTCAAAAACTAAATATTTCTCCACAAGCAGACAGAAGTAGAGATATTTTTCAATTTTCATTAGCTTTTTCTCTGTTAAACATTATTAAAGAAAAGCTTTTGAATTAGCTGCCTAATCTCTCTTATCATAAAACATTGTCAGATAAAACGTTTAATATATTTCTTGCTTTATGATTTCAAGTTATTCTATAACTTCAATTGTTTTGTCGTTGCTTGATAATTTCGAATAAAATATTAATTTCCGATAATATGGCATAAACTGCTAATAAAGGAATTAAATTATATTGTAAGTAAATAACAAAGTCACGCGAGTGGAGGAGTTTTAACAGAAAAAAGAAGCACTTTAAAAGGCGATAGCTTATTGTGGCTTGCAGATAAAAGTCAGGACTGCAACAAAACGACCATAGCTCAGCATGACAATGCAGGTGCCTCATCCCACGTCAAATCTCAGCGTGGTGCCGCACGAGAAGACGGGTACTGGACCGATTGAGTAGGCTATAATTGTTTAATGGGATTAGAACCTCAAGCAAAGTTTGCGCGTTGTTCGGAAAGAAAGGTGCTGATATTTATCCAACATTAGATCAGGCTAAACTCAAATTTACCACTTTAATCCCCGCAAATTCCGACGGACACGTTTTCCAAATATTTACCCGAGAAATTAGGTATGTGCGCTTTGTCGATGGAAAATCGTGCAATGACTATACCTCGGTTCTATCATGTTTCTCAATAACAACAGAAACCTTGATAGACAAAGTACTAATTATTATTAATTTTACGCTAAATTAGGTTGTGCGATCTAAACGTTTTGATAAACTCATTTTCTAAAAATCTCAATACGACAAAATTACATAACTAAAGAATATTAAATGAGAAAATGTATGTAAAAAATATTAAATGAGAAATAATATTACAGTATTAATCTCTGACATACACGGAGGGTTTTACATATTAGACTATAAGAATAACGTTTTGCGTATTATTATAATTTAACCGCCGTTTAATTTCTTAATTTTTTATTTTTATTTTTATCTGTTTAAACTTGAAGACGGTCTGAAGACAGACCGAAACGTTGTAATTCTATTAAATACAAATTAATATTAACACGAACATATCGTTGTGGCTCTAAGACCTCTGACTTATGTGATTTTTTAAATAAGGAAGTTTATTACTCACTGACTTAGGTTTACTTTAGTTTTTGCAAATTTTAATTTAAAATTTTATTATTAAGAGAGAGGCGAATTATTGATATGTACTTAAACGATATAACGTATTTCCTAGAAACTTGATCTAAGCATTGGATGTTGATTTAATGAACGGTACTGAAAAGTCCCGTATTTATTTATACTAATAATATAATTTATATTATACAAAGGTGAGATAATGCATAAAAAAACGAAAAGTTCGAATTACATACATTGCGATAAAGATTAAGTATGTAACTACGCGTTCGAGTGAAAAAGATTAGCCGACAGCACGAATCAGAACTATCAAACGTCACTGTGGCTCGATCAAGATGAAGATTCCCCGGTCTGATGTACGGAACAGGACGGATGTCGCGGGTGGCCGCAGGTGGCGCCCTCGATATAAGCTCTTCTGACTGAACTGCTGATACGGGACCATGCTTCTAAAACTCTCACGGTGGAATGTGTCATCCTGTCACTGCGCTCTCGCATGGGGTAGGAGATATCCCATGGGCCGTCACGCGTCCTTCGGACGAGCGAGTTCTTGTCACTTTTCTCAGATCCCCTTATTGCCAAAAATGTTCACGATTCGACCGTTAAATAATAATCGGGACAATGTTTCTTCGACAGTTAACATAATATTGTCATTATTAACAACAGCAATCTTGATAATAAATTTTCTTATATTATTCGTAATAATCGGTCGCTTGTATTGCATTATATGTTGTTAACAGATTCTTTGATTCATTTAGAATCTGCTTATTCTTAACAGAAATGTTTAAAAAGTTCATTATTTAAAACTCATCAATTCTTGAGTATTAATAATATATTGCAGTGCATAAAATGACTGCAGTACGTACAAAATATAAATAAAATATATAAAATAAAATGTGTAGTTTAATATGATCATTTTATTAGACATCTTCGCACACACAACCATATTTTCTTACAATTAATAATTTTAAAAAGTAAAGAAAAAATTATTCATATAAATTAAATTATTTAAATGCTATTTAATGCCATTTAAAAAACGTACAACCTGCTAACATTTATAAGTAGTATGAGTAGATGCTTTATACACTGTTAAATAGGTATTATAAAGGATAAAATTTAAACCAATACCTTGAGTTAAATAACATTTTGTTATTTTTAACTACTATGTGTGTCGAAATTTATTATTTTATCACAAAACAGGATTATTTTAGCTCCATTGGTTTAGTTAAATTAATATTGTTTTATTTAAATTCAAAAACATATTAAGTAGAAACAGTGGCAAACTACAGGACTGGTTAAAAAAGACTCAAATTGAGTATTATTTGACATTATAAATTTAACAGTGTATATTTTCATTATTAACTTTCAACTTCAAACTTTGTTGAAGTTCATTTTAAATTAATTAGAAACTATATTTTGTCTTATGTATTCTATCTTCTTCAAGTTCAATTTGCAAGAAGTCTCTTGTATCTATTCTTTAATTATTTAACATTCTAATGTTTTAATATTCTTATTAAGAAAACTTGGCTCTAAATTAATAATAAAAAATATTAAATTATAAACAATATGGTAAAAAAACAAAATCTTCATGCACGTGCCTTAAGCTTAAGAAAAAATATTGCTTGCAGAAATATTTTTTACAGTTTTGTAAAATTACTACTAAATTATGTTCTTTTGCTTTTTAACTGTTTTAAAGATATTTTTAATTTTATATTTAATAAACTTAATATTTAATAAATTTTAGTCTAATAGACATAAAACTTTTATATTTAATGTATAGTGTTTTAATAAAAATAAGATATTTTAAGTAGAGAGAAGCGCATAAAATAAAATCCTTTAAATTTTAAAGGAGTTTTTAACATTTTTTTCATAGATGCGACGTCGAATGTGACCTAGTCCTTCGTTATATCTTTAGAAGTAGTGTATTGTCATGTCAGGGTTTCGACGACGTGAGGATGATGAATATCCTAGCAGTCTGAAGAGTCACAAATTGTTTCGTGCGTCGCGCGCTTGTGACCGAAATATCTTTCTTATTTATTAGCGTGACACAGCTACCAAATTAAATTATCTATCTTCATTTTTTTTAGACATTACGAGTCTACACGAAAGCTATTTGCAGATGTATTCTGTTTACTTTATTTACTTCACAATTATAGTATAAATTTTTATTTTTTTCACTAAAAATATATTTTTAGTAAATAATAAAATGGCTGTAAATTTTGGTTATCAATTTATAGCAATTCGAATCTCAACATTTTAACGTATTTAATAAAATTGAATAGATTATGTAGTATCTACTACATAGTAGATCAGCTATAATTAAACTATCAACCGTCAAGTTATAATAAAAACGCAGGATGTTGGTACCTTGGTACCTCGAGGCGAGCGAGACACGCAAGTACATAGAAAGACCCGTCAAGAGCGTAGAAGGAAAAAAAGGCAGAAGGCACAAAACAACCTATCCAAGGGATAGAAGGGCGGAGGTTGCTTGCCTCTGGATAGCATAGAAGGTGGGTACCGAGATATAATACCCGACTCCTACCCGCGACGATAAGTGTCAACTGCAGCGTGCCAGATAAAAAGAAGGAACGAAAAATAAAATTCACACTGGTGATCCATCATGAGGCAGTGGACTCGGGGCGCGCAGACTCGCCCATGATTGGTTGGCACCGCCCTATCGTCATCACGTGACTACATCTAAGTACCGCCCTCCGATAATGGGGACACCCCCTGGAACTAATCTCACGCAGCGCAATACCTCCACTCTACCGTCTGGGTGATACGCCCAAGCAAGAGAGAGAAGGAAAACTTAAACACGCCAGACCACTGCGGGTCAGTCTCACCTGTGTGCAGCTTTCCGCTACGCTAGTCCACCTCACCAGTCCACTCCAACGGCCCATGTTGGACGGATCGACTGCACGAGTGTCCGCACGGATTATTTTTGTGGACGACGGTTAATGTTTCGTAGTGCCCGCGGATCGGCATCGTTACCTATTCTCGGCGGACTTTTAAATACTTTTCAGAGCATATTAAATTCAAATTTAAATATTAAATATTTGCCGTAAAATTTTACAAAGTATTACATACCTTCTGCGTGATATTAGTGGACGACTTGTGACAACTTGAAAATTTTAAGTATTACTTTGTATACTTTAATATTACTAAGTATAGTTGCTTCTGTGATTTTATATTTTGTGCAACTTGTGGACATTTATTGTTTCGTTTAAGACTTTTATTCGAAATCTTATCAAGTACTGATTAATTCTGTGCTTATCGTGAATTTGTTTATCGGGACAAATTTAAATGTTTATTCCTTTGTGGTATTTATATAAAACCAAAGGATTGTAAATTTGTATACGTAATGTTGAAATGATCAGTTAAGAGAACAGTGTACAATTTTAGTTATGATGTAATCATCTCTCTTGTTTCCACTTGGACAATACGCATCGGAGTTGCCGAAACAGTGGGTGGTCAATTGATTCGTCTCTCCGTTACGAGGATGATGATGATGGACATGGGCATGTACGGGACCTATGGCAAACCTGACTCATATCCTAACTATGTGTTCTCGGGTCAAGGAAATCATCACCATCATCACCATCACCAGCCTTCATCCGTCGGCGGTCACGTGTCTGTGCCTCCTTCCCCGGAGGTAGCTCCAACTCATTACTACCCCCAGACTGCAGTGGCGCCATATTCTTCATCGTCTTCCGAGAGTTTCCTAACCGCCGATTCGGGCACGTCGTCCAGTACGCCGCCTCAAGGCTTCTACTCTCCGACGGGTGCCGTTCTCCACGAGAACGGCTCCACCACGGCAATAATCTCTTCGGAGAATGGCCTGAGCTACACCAATCTGGATTACGCATCGTCCTCGTCGTATTCGAACCAACAGCCACACGCAGTAGCCTCGGTGGATCCGCATCAAAGTTACCACGTTCAACAGGCTGCTTACCGAGAGGATCCTCATCACCATCATCATCACCATCATCCACCTGGTGGTAGCAGTCTCCATCAAACCACGGTACCCCCAACTAGTCATCCAAGAACGGAACACGATCAGCAACTCCATCATCAATCCTCTAGTCATCATCACCATCATCATCATCATCATCATCACGAACCCGATTATCCGATAGCGGTCGGCGGGACCTCGAATTATCTTCATCAGCTATCCTCCTCGGACGAATCTTTGCATTATCAGACGCAGATTCAGCAAAGCGAGTTCTCCACGCACCCGCCGGGACATTACAAAGAAGAGAGCTCGGACACGGCTACCTATCACATTTTGCAACAGTCCAGTCACCTACAACATCCCCATCAGCACGGGCATCATCACCAACAGCAGCATTCGCACGCGCATCATTCGCAACAACAGCAGCAGCAGCAGCAACAACAAACACAAGTACCTACGTACAAATGGATGCAGGTCAAGAGAAACGTACCCAAGCCAGTCGGTAAGTGGTCACAATCCACACTTGGTTTAAATTTCCGGTCGAGTCGACGCCTATGTGCAGTGAGCAAACTAGCGTGAAATTAGGTATTCTGTGGGCGCGATCCGGTAGCTATTCGTTAAACCTCGTTCATCGCTTGATTAGCTTAGAATACGAAGATGCAGAATCATGCTGTCTTATCTCTCGTGGCCCCGTTATTTGAGAAGCTGTCATTGCTAGATAGTGCGATACCGTTTTTATAAACTTATATCGTCTTAGGAATTCAATTTGATTCAACAACTATTTCTGCGACAAGTCATAAATATTAGAAATCATAATCACATTTTTACTCTAATTTATATTACTAATATAAATTTTTTTCCGTGACTTTCACAGAAACATGTTATTGCAATTTACATTGTCATTTATTTAAATCTTCCTTATATTTTATGTGCATAATCATGAACGTTTTATGCTGCATTTTACATCTAATTAATATTGCGTTTTCACAAAATATTTAAAGTTAAATAATTCTTTATTTTTTATCCATTGAAAAGCTCTCATGCAAGTTCATAGAAAATGTTTATTCGCTGATTGCCAACGAAGCAATCTCAGTTCCTGGAAGCACAATTTGATCCAATCATATCTTGTTGAAGACACTTTACATAAATTCAATATATTCAAGTATTAGTTCGCAAAGTAACATTAGATAGAAGATCAACCATTTTTACGTAGATAGTCTTCAATTAAGATTGACAAACAAGGCGGACAGTTTGTCAAAGACAGAATGTGACGTGCTATTCCGTAATCGCCAAGTCAGTGACTTCCAAACAATTTGTATGTATGAGAATTAATAAAGTGCGGCACGTAATCTCGGTTTGCCATAATCATTAATCATACTCGTATCGCCCAATAATACTAGCCTTATGAGATTTTAATATCATTAGTCTGCAATTTACTGTCGTATATTTTATTGATTTTTTTTATCTTATCTCTAACAGATAAAGTTTACATAAATATAGTCTTTAACTCTAGGAAATTAAATTAAATTTGTTAAACTCAATGTGATTTAAGTTTATTAAACAACATCGTTCCGACCGTTTTCAAAACTCTTATTTAAATTTATTACTAATACGTAAAACGTAATTACACTTTTATCGTAAATACAATCGTAATAAAAGGATAGCAAATGAGTTTATAATAACAGACTCTTATCATCATTTATGAAGTCGAACCGTACATGAATTCCGAGATAAATAATGTGTGTTTTCCAAGATATTTGTAACAAAAACTTATCAGCACTGATATCTTACCTTACAATTTGACTTTCGTTTATACCTATGAGAGACTATCATAATAGATAAGATTGTACACATGGAACGAATAATAGAAAAAATTATCATCAAAATTAATATATATATATATTAATATATATATATATCTTTCTACTATATACTATCATAAATTAATTAAATATTAACAAGGGGTTTGTTTTCTGTTACTGAACTGGCTGCACTAGTTCAGAGTTTATCTTTCTTACTCCATATTACAAGGAAAAAGATAAACTCTGAACTAGTACAGCAGTTCAGTAACAGAAAACGGACCTAAGCTTATTTATAGTTCCAAAATGTGTTTAGAATTATGTACAAATTGAACATCTTAAATTAATTGCATCAAAATACATTTTTACTTAAATAATTACAATATTTATTTTAATTACAACTGGCGTATAATAATAAACTAGTATGCTTTTATTTAACTATATTAATCTAAAATATGTCTTCTCTTTCTACATCTATATTTGTCTAAAATTTATTTATCTAATATTCTAAAAGTAAAAGATAAATTTTTGCATATAAATATTTATGAGAAATTTATTACAAATTTAATAT